AGAGGGTCGGTACAAGATTGTCGCTCATTCTGGAGTACCTGCTTGGACTCCGACCACGCCCTAATACGGGCACACATCTGCTTGCGCTTCACTGGACGCAAAATAGTCACAGTAAAAAGACCCATTAGAACTGAGTTGAATAGCGAGAAAACCAAAAGTAGGTTCCAGGAAAAGCTGGTGTCACAATGAGGTAGTTCCGAAGACGAGGCTGACCCAGATGTTGCTTGGAAAAGCATACAATCAGCTGTGGAAACAGCAGTGACATCTATTAGAAACTTAAACCACAGAGTTACAAAGAACCAGTGGATTTCTTCAAGGTCTATCACACTGATGGATTCTCGCAAACTCGTCCCATCAGGTTCTGAACATGATGAAGAGCGACAACAAACCATATCTAGGCCAACCAAAAGTCTAAGGAACGACCGTGAACAGTGGGGGGTAACAAAAGCAAAAGAGATGGAAAAGGCGTCGACTATAGACAACACAAGACAGCTTTACAGACTAATAAAAGAAACTGGAATTAATAAGTCAAGTGTAAGTGAGATTATTTCGGAAAAAGACGATACTCTCATCTGCTCCCAGTCCAGACGTTTAGAAAGATCGGCGGAACATTTTAGAGAAGAGTTCAACTAGCCTTCAGCTACTCTACAACTACCCTCCATTCCCAGACAGCGTGAATGGAACATTGAAGTAGGTCCCCCAACTCTAGCAGAAGTTGAGAAGGCTATAGTTAATCTGAAACGAGGAAGGGCAGCTGGTCCAGATGGATTGGCTCCAGAGGTCTTTAAAGATGATGATCCAATTTTTGGCGATTAGGTTGACTAATATTTTAGCTAAGATCTGGGAATTAGACGTTATTCCATCTGACTGGTCACAATCACTTATCGTACCAATATATAAGAAAGGGTCAAAATCATTCTGTGACAACCACAGAGGGATTAGTTTAACTAATATAATATCTAAAATACTAGCCTCGATAATTATCAGACGCCTAACTAAGACTCGTGAACTGCAAACACGAGAGAACCAAGCTGGCTTCAAACCTGGTCGTGGCTGCATCGACCACATATTCACCATTCGTCAGGTTCTAGAACATAGGCATACTTATCGGCGTCCGACAATGGTGGTGTTTCTTGACTTAAAAGCAGCATTTGAGTCGGTAGACGGCGAGATTCTGTGGCAGTGTCTGTCATTGAAAGGCGTAACCCAGAAGTACATAAACCTTGTAAAGGCTCTTTACTCGAACACTACTAGTCGAGTGAGAGCTTATGGCGAACTGTCATCTGCTTTTACAACCTCAAGTGGTGTCCGTCAAGGCTGTCCAATTTCTCCATTTTTGTTTAACTTCATCATAGACCTACTGATGGAAATAACGTTCTCGTCGACTGAGTTCTCGGGTATTGATCTTCTCCCAGGAGGTCCACTTATTAACATAAAATAAGCAGATAATATAGTCCTGTTTGATGAAGACGCTGATAAAATGCAGTCTTTTGGTAGCACTAAGCAACAATGCCAGAATGGTTGGAATGCGCTTCTCTCCCTCTAAATGCAAGTTGTTGCTTCAGGACTGGTCTGCGTTAACACCTGAACTAAGGATAGGGAGTGAAGTATTCGAACGCGTTGACAACTTCACTTATCTTGGAAGTCTGATCAGCTTTAATGGGTTGATATCTGACGAAATCTCAGCACGGATTCTAAAGGCTCGTTTGGCTTTTGCCAACTTTCGTCACCTATGGCGAAGGCGAGATATCCGTCTATCAATAAAAGGACGAGTATACTGCGCGGCAGTCCGTTGTGTTTTAATTTACGGCAGCGAAACATGACCATTAAGAGTAGAAGACACTCGTAAGCTACTAGTATTTGACCACAGATGCCTTAGAAATAGTGAGGTTAGACCCAGGGTATTAGGTAATGATGGTAAATCAGTTGATGAGGTTGTGCATCTTCATCGACTGAGATGGTTGAGCCACGTGTTACGTATGCCTGAACACCGATTACCACGACGTGCAATGCTAACCGGTGTTCGGGATGGTTGAAAGAAAGTTAGGGGCGGTCAAACCAAAACGCGGCATTAGTGCTTGAAGTCACTAACTTCTAATCTGAGTCATGTTGGTAGATGCCGACTACTTGGTTGGGGTCCGCATGACTATCGTAACCAATGGTTGGAGACTCTTGGTGACGTGGCTCAGAATCGATCACAATGGCGTCGGTGTATACACTCTCTGTCTTCCCTGAAACTAAGAGATTAAAATCGCTTCATATCTTTCTACGAACTATTTCTTTCTTCCTGTACTATATCGTTATTGCAGTCGTTCTTTTATATATTACCACCTCTGAATTAACTACTTTTATGAATTCGGTGTCCATCTTGTTGTGTTAATGAGGTATGGCAACTTGGACCGATGTATATATGTGCCTAGTCCTACGTTGTAGATGACTGACTGAATATTATTCACAGACAGAACGAAAATGAAGTATTGATTGTTCAGTTTCACTAGTAATTATTCACTTGTGTTTTAAGTTACAAATAGATCTACTGACATAATAAAATAAAACACTGTTGTTTAGATTTTTTCATTTTACTGTACATAAATATTAGTACAGCTTTGGATGAACTATTTTTGCTTTTTAATATTTAATTAGTGGATTTTTAGTGGCACGACATCTTACTCTAAGTGGTTCGTATAATTGATCGTTATCGAAATACACATGTCGGCTATCTTCGTATATAATTATGGACTTAATACGTGTTGGTGAATAGCGGATTTAAATAAGCCAAATACGAGAACGGATTTTGAATATATATTTTCCATACAATTGTTGATCCAGACTAATGAGCGGAGAAACGAAACAAAGAGAGAAGTGAAGTGAAACAACACGCAATGAAGATGGTATGCAAGCCAACTCAATTTAACCAAGTGTGAATCGATTTTTATAGTAGAGCAAAAATAAGTTACAGACATGTGGTGAATAAGATACGAAATGCACACACAGTCAAGGTTGATAAGCAGATAATTGACAAGGTCAAAATGTAGCTTGAGAAGAATGAATAGATCGATCTGCCTAGAGGTTAGAATAAACTATGTGGGCTTGACTTAGTACCAGCCCTTACAATTTAATCAATAATACGCTTTTTTCATGGAATTTTATTTTCAAGTTACAGCTGATTTAAGTTGACCTCATTATCTTGCTTCGAAACTTCTATAACGGGACGAATATTGTAAAGGTTGGAACTTTTATAACCATTTTTAAAATTATGATTATTTGTAATTCTATTGTGTAGTTACCAAGTAACTGGATTACTAGGTTTATGTATTTCGTGTATTATAAGCTTCACCTATTAAGTAGTGTCATATCGACTCACTATTCTTAATCTGTCGCCGATTTATTACATACAGCTTGCCTTGATCACAGCCACTTTTGACTTGTTTATCATTGTGATTTATTCATTTTATGGTATGATGTGGTTCATTATGTTTGTGTATCCACTCGATTATGTTCGAAACTATAATGATGGCAGAGGCTGACTGCTTATTTCTCTTTGAACTCAATGGAAGGGATAGAGTGTAGTAGACCAATAGGCGATGAACTTGCATTGGGTCAGGGTTACCTGTGCAGGTCAAACGTGTTATTGGTCAAATCTAGGATATCAGGTCATAAAGAGAATATTAGACACGATATAAAGAAAATCATTGTCTGAATTCTGATTGGGCAATATAACACTTGGTATTAAGCTAGCGATCGCAAGCCATAGCAGAAGCACCTTTGCAAGCCAAATAAAAATATGACTATTTGATATGTATCATTCTGTTATATCATCTAATTACTTTAACCATTGTTCTGATGTCACTCTAAATTATTTTATCATTATTAAAATTCTTAAGATGATTTTGCTGTGTATACGGTTGCAAAATTCATTTTATGCCTAATCAACCTTTTGAAATAAATCAACACAGTGGATACTGTAAATGCACAAAGAAAATATATTTTACCTAAACATTTATTGATTAAATAATGACTGGTAATAATTTTCAGATCCTTCCATTTTTATTGTTTAAGATTGAACATTGAAAGATCTTCAACTAACTTCTAGACTGATTTGAAGCTTAAAGACAAAAATGAAGTTTAAAAAGAAAATCTTTTACATAGTCGTTTTCAGTAAATCCTTTAAATTCTCCCTCCTTTTAGCTTATCGAAATTAACTAGCTCTTCTGAGAGAAAACAACAATCGTTTTTCTATAGGATGAAATCATACTGTTTAGACTCAGAAGAATTGTAGTAGTTTCAACTTTTCCATGGCTTGCAATATAGTCTTTGGAATATTTTCAACATTTTTAAAAGGTTTCTGACAGTGTAGTTCTTGAAGTAAAGGAAGAACTTATTTAGACTGAACTACATTAATTTTTGACAGCACTATACAGTGTATGTTAAACTTCAAACTGGAATTTCGCCCACTGACAGATGTATGTAAAAGCATAGACTAAACATACAGTTTTTTAGTGCTTGTGAATAATACTCTAGAAGTTGTATGCTAAGTTAATAAAAGGGCACTCACATGTATACACTTCGGTAACATTAGTTCCTCTTATGATATTTTTCAAATGTATTAATATGTAAAACACCTTGATGTATATATATTAGGGTTCAGACTATCACAAATAGTGTTAACCCCTTCAAGATTGTTGTCACGCGATGCTTGCGATTATCAACGAGTATGAAATTTAGGTTCATGATTTCCTATTGACCATCTCCAGCCACTAAAGATATCTAATCGAATATGTGACGAAAATAAGTCTAGTTTATAACTGGTAGCTAAAACTTTTAAAAAAATCAAACAAACGAGATTGAAAAAAAGGACAATAACAGTTTGATACACTTTTATAATTGCTCTTATTAGAAAATAATTCTACAGTATCTACAGTATCTAAAACTGAAACCTTATAGACATCATCATTATTAACAAAATTACAATACGCTTTTGACATTTTGTAGGTATTCCAGTAATTTCTAAAAAAAAAACATGTTCCACATCAATAAGAAAGAATAAGTGAATGTTCGTTTCATTAGACGAATTTGCTTTTTTTTGGTTTCATATAGTTACAACTGACACAGATGTTTGAGGTGAATTCAATTTTAATTTGTTACTTTGTTTATTGTTATTATTGTTATTGTACAACATTGAATAATGAGAATTATTTGTAACTAATTTGATATTTTTCTTTTCAGTATCAAAGCGTACACCAGACTTACGTGGCACACTGGTAGATTGACTACGTCGAAATAGAATTGGTGGTTTTATTAAGATTGAGGTGGGTATGTTTGACTGTATGTCATATGTCCTATAACTGTTCTTAAGAGTTTCAGTATTTTCGAATTTAATTTCACAACGTTTTACCAAGTTACTTTCCGACGATGTAACATTATTTACAGTTGGGATGTTGTTGAAATGATACAAATGTAAACGATTATTTACATTTTCGAAATTTGTCATAGACTCTGACGGAATATCTGAGTTCTTGTGCTTTTCAGATATATCAGAACATGAGAAGTTTGTACGACTGACGGAAAGATTTTTGTCATTTTGATGTCGATCATCCACATTCTGTCGGAAAGGTTTACAATTTGACAATTCTAATGGTCTAAAATCAAGGTAAATTGAAAATACTGTACGTGAAAAAACTACACATAAAGAAAAAAGATTAGAAACCTAGCGATTAACATGTTTTCGAAAATGACACTATATCAGTAAACAATGAACTAATTTATTTTGAAAGGTCCATTTGGTTTAAACCAATAGCTTAAAATAAAAACTTAATTGTTAGACGAAGTATATATCTCATTTATCTTGATGAATCACAAACTCTAAATCATAATATAAAAGTGTTCTGTATTAGATTTCTTAGTTTCATGAATAAAATAGTTCATTTTAACAGCCTCCAATATTCTTTGATGTATAGAAAGCTGATATGTCAGACCCAAAGCAAAGGTTAACTACTTCTTCCATATACTCACAACCAAATCACCGAAAAATATCGAAAGTAAAGTAAAGCTAATTACGCCACAATCCATACTTGAAATTACTTACACCTATTACACCTCGTGAAGGAGCACAAAGCTCCCACCAACATTCTCCATTCAACTTTGTTCTAGACAATCCTTTACAGTTGTTTCAAGTTGCTATTCATTATTTTTATGTTTGCCTCTAGTTCCTGACGCAATGTGTTCCTTTTTCTTCTACATTTCCGTTTCCCTTCAGAATTCTAATTTAGCATTTGCTTTATGATGCATTTTAATGAGTTCCTCAATGTATGTCCTATCCACCTCCAGAGTTTTTGCCTGATTTACTCTTCAGTTGGAAGCTGATTTGTTCTCCAACAGTAGGCTGCTGTTGATGGTATCCGGTCACCGGACATTGAGTATCTTGTGTAGACACTTGTTTATAAATAATTGTCTTTTTTCAATAATGGTTGTAGTAGTTCTCCTAGTTTCAGCTCGACACGGTAGAACTGTCTTGATGTTCATATTGAAGATTGTGACTTTGATGTTGGTTAGCATTTGTTTTGAGTTTCATATGTTCTTTAACTATAAGAATTCTGCTCTTACTTTGCCGATTTTTGTCTTTACGTCTGCATCAGATCCTCCTTGTCCATCTATGATGTTGTCCGCGTACGTGAATACATGACATAGGATGCAGTAAATGTTTCATTTGTTTGCGTATTTCAAGTTCGTGAGTCGACAGTTTGATATTTTAGAACAGAATTAAAATTACATATGTATTTTATCGTGAAAAAGAGAATTCTTTACTTTGTTCTACCCCAGTCCATGGAATTTAAACAAAGACCACTTCATGTAAGAACTGTTTCATAAAAAGTTACTTTTAACATAAGTAATCTAGTTTATTTGAGACAAAACTTCAGTTCTTAATATATGGAAAAGTTTATTGTTGATTCAAAAGTGTCATACGATCCATATTTACCTTTTGTATTTTTTGGTTATATATCGAGTTCCATCTGCACTTCGTCTGATTCTCCAAGATGCAAGTGTAGTACTGCATGTTCTTGAATCAAACTTATGAGGTGAACCAGTTACACCATGAATCTTAGTTTGATCCTCACTCATATTTTTTTCATTGACACCTAAATTTGAGTTAGTTTGTTTGACAATAATATCATTATCAATATTACAATCTGTTTTTGATAGTAAGTTTAATTTTTCTCGTAATATATATTGTTGTAACCAAATCGTTTGTCTTAGACGGTCTGGTGTTGTGTAAACGATGTGAGGTAATGTTCGTGATGATTGGATAATTTGATTTTTTATACAGGTTTTGTTAATCAATTCACTTTTACTGGGAATGCAGAAAGACTTGTCACCGTCTGAATTAGACTATAAAAACAGCAACAAAAAAAAACAAACTGAAGAATGTAATCAAAGTTAAATTTGGAAATAATGGTCATCCGTTTGTCAATTTTATGTTTGAAAAATAGAATGTCCTAAGATAAAAAAATAACTAGTATGATTGAAAATGGTTAAATATTTTTAATCTAGTCAGTGGTACACGTGTATATGTCTATTATAAAAATCTTTATAAACTCTTTTCGTTGTTTGAACTAGAAGGCTTAAAATTGCAATAATGAATTATCATATGTTGAATGAAACTGAGGAACCTCATGTACATTTAGTTTTAAAGAGTCAACAATAATACTATCTACCTTACGAGAAAAATATCGTAATTATGGACTTATAACGGTAGAGCTTGATGATAAAGTTAATCAACACAATTGTTCGCTCAAATATTCTTCATTTTTTGAAAACCTCTTTCAGTAATAATTATCATCCGCCCACTATAGTTGAAACTTTAACTTAGAAAAGTTGTTATAGTCACTACAAAACATTCACAATGTTTCTTTTTAGACTTAAATAAACTAACAATTTTATGATTAGAAAAAAATGTGTATAAAGTATGTTAGTTAGACTGACTTGATGTAAACAATTTACATTCAGTACTTAAGTGTTTATGTTAGATTGAGAACATTAAATTGGTTAGTTTCAAAACTTTTAATAAACAAGAATTTCTGAAATCATAAGAAAAACAACTATGATGTTACAAACACATTTTTGTACTTCATATTAATCAAGAACCAAAACTGGTTTATAATTACGAATAAACAAATATTATAAATAAATAGCCGAATCAAAATTAATCCAAGTTTAAATAGTACCATTTGGACTATTTTGATTTGTGCTCTAAAGAAATGGTTTACATTAAGTGACGAAACGTCAGAAAATCTAATTTTTCTACACATTGGGATATTTAAGACAATTAGTCCCTTTGATAAATTTCGATAATGCAATGAGAAGACGAAGTTTATTAGAATGATGAGATATATTTGCGCAATACAATTCAAACAATCTGATCACACATAAACTTGTTAAGAACATTTATATATGAAAATTAAAAGGTCAACTAGACAGGTTAAAGGTAAGCCATAACAAAGAAAAAAAATAATATTTAAGTACACAAAAACAAATGTGGTTACCACTCTGGATAATAAATCAATATTACCAGGGTAGATTAAGTGTTGGGATAAATTGTTTTGGAACACGTAAATGGGTTTTCAATTTTCCGTATAGCCAAGGCCTCAATAAACCTTAGTATACGTCCTTGAAGGCTTTTGTATAACACTACAAATGCTGACTTGATGTCAACCTTATGACCAGTCTTAATCAAATGTTTCGCAATGGAAGATGATGTCTGTCTATCTTGTGATCTTATTTTACCATAAGAATTTATTTGTTGTTGCAACCATTTTGGTACGTGTTCACCCACCCTTAATTGCAAATAATGTTTGTTTCCGCACATACATTTGAATTGATAGGCACAATGGGATGTGACACAATAGCTTTCGTGCTGTTTGTGCTTTTGTTGAAACATAGACCTTGTCTTTTCGATAATGACAAGTTGGGCTGCTTAAAATGTCCGGTTGATAGCTAATTTAAGTCTCCGTCTCAACATGAGATTATTTGTGTAGCCTCTGAGTAGTAACGTAATGTAAACTCACTTTTTGGGTGCCAGAAGCGTCATAGGTCTAGTCGTATTGCAACCCTCCCAGCGGTTTATGAACTTCAAAGAATAACCATTATTCATTTACGTATCAGTCAAGAGCTTCGTCTCTATTTCAATAGTATCACTAGTACAAATACGATTGGTTCTATTGAATAAGCTTTTTATTAAACCACGTTTGTAATGAATAGGGCAGTGACTATGAAAATTAATGTATTGTCCTGTTCATGTTGGCTTTCTATATATAGAACGTTTGATGGAGCCATCATTTCTCCTACTAATCAGGATATCTAGAAAAGGAAGTTGGTTGTTCTCATCTTCTTCACATGTAAGAGAAATGTGCTTTTGACTTCTATTGAATTCTTTTAACAAGCGTTTATGTCTTCACCTTTATCCCCTATGATTATTATATCATCGACATATCGTTTATATACACCCATCTTTCGAATTGAGTCTTCAACTAAATTTTCAACATATCGGCCAGAAGTGGTCATTAAGGGCTACCTATAGCTACACCATCTATTTGTCGGAAGTGCTCACCTTCAAAAGTGATTTTCTCATTATCTGTACACAATAATAATAAATCTTTAAGAGTGTTAACAGGAAATGGCAGTGGTGCAGTCACACAAAACATCAGTAGTTTTCCTGAGAGGTGCATTTGCAAATAAAGTGTTCACATCAAAGGAGCACATTGTCTTTGTCATTATATTTATATCCTTTAAGTATTTAATTAATCCGAATGAGTTAGTCAAGGAATACTTACAATATTGATTTCGGATAGAGTTTAATACTTTTGTAAGCCATTTTGCAGGGTTGTGTGTAGGTAACCGACACATTGATAGAATTGAACGTAGGTGGGTATTAGGCATATGAATTTTAGGTAATCCATATAAATTAGGATACGCCGAACCCATAGGTTTTAATAAATTAAACTCATCCTTGTTAATAGCGTTCATGTTTAACAATTTCACAAGATTCGAGTTTACTTTCTTTTCTAATTTACGTATTCCATCGGAGTCAACATCAGCCAAAAATTTCCTTTTATCACTGCGAATGGATTCCATTTTACATTTGTAATCAGACTTATTCATAATAACAACACCAGATACTTTGTCGGGTTTAAGTACAGTAATATCGGTAATACTTCTCAATTCTTTTAATGATTTGAAGTGTTGAGAAGTTAATATGCTTCTCTGCTTTGGTCCAGAAGAATGAAACTGATGTGCTATATCCACTAGTTTGGCTTTATTACAAATATATTATTTATTTATAACAATCTACCCAATGCTCAATTTATTCGAAATTATCAAGTCAAGTCGTGATAACGATACTTACAAACAAATATTATGAATATGAAATGATTCTTTGAGTAGGATCCTACGCACTCAGTACGTAGCAATGCAAAAACTAAGGAAATGAAAAATACTGCTCTACGATATGAAAGAAACGTATTATAATATCCCAAGAAATCGTTACATTTTATCAGTAATCCACGAAGAGATGTTAATACTTGTTAAATATGCAAGTTTTATTTACAGTAGTTAATTTGGTTCAATTCTGTTCATGTAAATTAACTAAGGTCATATGAATAGTTGAGCTTATTTAATTCATTGTGCATAGATAATTCTAACGGACTTTATTGTATTGTAGTCGTGTTTTAGTGTCTATATTTAATAATATACAGATCAACTATGTTACTAAGTAGTCAGTGTTGTTTATTTGGATAATACTGACTTTAATAAAAATTTAATCTGATCAATGAACTGATTAATAGGTGATGCATTTCAATTTGTTGACGATTAATTAAATCTGACAAGTTATTGATATAGTAAAACATACAAAACAGTATGCATTTTGCATATTGATTTTTCATTTGTCTTTATCAAGTTAAATGACATCTATCCATTTTAGATTTTCAACTTTATAAAGTCGTAACTGTCATTATATGGTTTCCAAATAGGTATATCTTGTCAGAAGAAAATTTCAGATACTGTTTATTCGTTATGATCAATCGAAGTTCGTGTTTATAATCGATTATTTGTTGAGATTTACATGTATGACAAAACAATACTGATGATGTCAAATTGGTGTTGTTCTATTTATAAATTTTATTCGAAACTAATAAACAAAGATATTCTCCTGAAATTATTGATCCTCTAAATATATAATATATGAAATAAAATTAGTGTCTGGTTAATTCATAAATCATAAAGAGATTGCATGCTCTTGGGATTACTCATCATTTACTCTTACAATTTGTCAATTCTTGCATATGACCTATTATTCTTTACTGCTTTCCAATATTCTTTCCCAGGCTTTTGAGAAAAGACTTTGCTGTATTGCGGAGAGTGTTGAAGGCAGTTAGCAAGATGTGTAGTAAATTTTTCGAGGTCATAATTAATATGGTCGTGGACAGACATCTAAAGTCATGCAAACTCCTGGTAGGTGTTAGTTTATCAGATACTAACCATCCCCTTCACTCTTATCTTTCTCCTTGCATATCTTCTGGTAGAACGAGACGTAATTACATTAAAATCCATGCACGCAAGCAAAAGTATAGAAGTCCTATAATACCTTATCTAGCAAATATACTCTGTGACGAACAGGTTGTTAGAGTTAACCTAGTCAATAACCTGCATTCTTAACATGCCTTTAATTTTAAAAGTTGTACAGTTTTTTGGTTTTCTTTTTTTGAACCATTTTTTCCTTTTTTTGTCTTTGTCACTGTTTTTTTTGCGTAAGTAACGTGTTGGAATACCCTATGCTGAGAATTCTGTATTGTACCAAAATATAATATTGAATAAAGCCATTAATAATAATAAATATTCTAAATACACAAGATACTTACAATTTTGACAGGTCTCAATAATAAAAGACTGACAGATTTACCAGATCGTTCCAGAAGTTCATTTGCTTGTTTTAAATTTCTAACTGATACACCATTAATTTGTATCACTTGATCACCAGTTTTGATTCCATTTTTACAATTTTCCTGAATAAATAATCAGTTAGTCATTACCAAGGTTTGATTTGATAATTTAGAATAAATTGAGCATTGGGTTGATTGTTATAAATAAAAATAATATATTTGTAATATCCCAATGAGTAAAAAATTGGATTTTCTGACGTTTCGTGACTTAGTGTAAGTCACTTCTTCAGAGAATAAATAACCAAATTAAACTTGAATTAATTTTAATGTGGTTATTCATTATCTGAAGAAGTGACTTACACTAAGTCACGAAACTTCAGAAAATCTAATTTTCTACTCATTGGGATATTACAAATATATTATTTTTATTTAAAATCAGTTAGTCAGTTGTATTAGTTGTAGTACATTGTTTATATTTTCAAGTTTTAAATAAATATTTTCATAAATATGTGTAAAGAATTTCTATTTAAAATTGTCTATCTGCTTTTGTTTATTCTTTTATAAATTAGTAGTAATCTATAGATAATAATTTCCCATCAGAAAAGCGTAATACTCATATTTAATCCTGAAAATTTTGATAAAGTTAAGAATTTGTCATGGATTATTGAAATAGATTAGATATTTATCAGATTTACTAGTCGAAGTAAATATTCTCAAGATTGAAACCGAATTAGAATTGAAAGAGAATGAATCCGACTAGTTACAAATAACTACACTGTGAAATATATAAATTACCGTTGACCGAATGTTTTGATAAATTACAATGAACAAAAGATATAACAGACGCCAATTCATTGTTATTATCTTCTAAGCTCTAATTATCATAGCTTGCACTATATGACGATTCCGTCTTACTAAACATTTATACACAAAATGAAAGTAAATTATACTTTGTTATGGTATATCATTGTACCATCTTTCTGAGTGATTTAATGAAATAGTTCAACCATCAACAAAATTGTATGAGGAAGATTAACAAGATAGGCGTCAGTATCTAAGAGTTTGTAGGCATTCACAATTTTAATATACTGTCGAACAGAGTATAAGTTTTATAAGTCAGAGGAGAAAGTGGTTAATTTAAATAAAGCAAAGTACACTTATAACCTTATTAAGATCAAGTATCAAATTTTAAAAAAATATTAAAAAAACTAAACTATATCATTTAATATAGCTGTGTTCAGCAGCCCAGCAAATAACGTGTTTGGTGTTTGTAGCGAAAGATTCTGAGTTTGAGTCTCGATGTGAACAACTATACTGAAATGCAAACAAATTCAGTTGGTGAGTTTCAAGTAGGAAGAAACGCACTAGCTACTATCTAAGTCTACTAAAACTTATGTCTGTTTAATAGAATCAAGGAAATCAGCTCAAAATTAATTAAATTATAGGATGCTAACGTTTTGAATATAAATTGTCTTATACTGAGATGACATTACTATATTTTTAATACTTTAAAACAGCACTAGTCTGGCATTGTACGTTGCAAAATATACAAATAATAGCTGATAAGTTTTCACAAGACACTGAGATTTGAGTAAGCTGTTGAAATTTGTTATTCCAACAAAACTTTAAGTTACATTTGCTTTCAATGCAAATTATGTGAACAAAATGGTTTCAGTAAAAAACATAAACATTAAAATTATATTGTAGATTGAAGATAACTGACTGTATTCACTAGAACAATATTCAAAAAGAATCAAGATGTCGGTAACCTGTAAACTGATGTAAAGTAAATATAAAGGTTATTGTGATTTGTTCAAATTTTATTGAACTGAATTCTGCTAATATACATACATATATAACATTGAGATCTCAACAGTCCTATCTAAATAGTTATTTTTACAGATTTTAAGATATTCTGCTTGATAAAAAAATGTTATATCAATCTACTTAACTCACCGTTTCAACGAACACATCTTCATAAAGTTGCTTACCAATGTTTTGTATATTGCTTGATGTTAATTTTAGATTAAATCCGGAGTTTGAACCATGATCAATGCGTTGTACGTGAACATACTGAATCAAATAAAAAATCAATGCCAATAAAAAACAGAGAAACGAGAATTTATATTTTATACACTAAATAATGGATATTATTTCAACAAGGACCTTTACCATAGGATAAGATACCTAACCCAATGCTCACCTCTCTTTTATCCGAACTTAGGACTTTCAGTAGCCATAGAAAGGCTTCAGGCAGAATTCATAGTGTATAAATTTTATTGAATTATATAATATAAAAATTGTGAGGTTTTTTTCAGTAAACATTCGTTAAGAGCATACAATGTTGTAATTCTGTTGAATAATCTAGTTCTAGAATCGTAACGATTCTATAAGAACAGTTTTATGGCAAGAAAATTAATCTCATATACTACAATAAAACTATATGTCTACAAATGTGATGAATAATGAAAAATGGTAAAACAATACACTTTCTACTTGTAAAGCTATAGAAACTAATGTTCCGTATCTCACACTAGTTTCTAATAACATTTCATGTATATTTAAACAATCTATTAACGTATAATGATAAAATAATAATTATTTTGACAGTACTTACTTACATAATTACACCTATTGCTCCCAATGGAGCATAGGCCGCCGACCAGCATTCTAGTTTCTTCTAGTTAGCGTTTTTCTAGCGAGTTAGTTTTCTACGGGATGGGGTCGCTAACCCCATACCCAACCCTCCTCCTTTATCCGGGATTGGGACTGGCAGTAGCTCCTGGAGGCACTCCAGGCGGAGTTATTTTGACAGTAATATACAACAAAAAATCTGAAGTTTTATTCAATGAAATTTCACAAGTTGAAATCATGAGTCAGTTGAAGCTAGACCACCATTGAAAACCTGGAAGCACTGGACGGCGGTTTCGTCCTGGTATGGGACTCCTCAGCAGTGCGCATCCACGATCCCGCACCACGCGGGGCTCGAGCCCAGGACCTACTGGCTTCGCGCGCGTGCACTTAACCACTAGACCACTGAGCCGGCATACAACGGTGTTAATGTCTAACTTCAACCAATCCACAAAGTTGCGCCACCGTACACCATTGTCTTCAGTGAGTTGTTATCTCACAACATACATGTTTGTATGTGGAATTTGTATAAATTACACAAACACAAATAATAAACTTGATTTTAATGTAATATTTTCAATAGTTTGATATTTTTGTTTTCATTAATAGATTCACTATTGATTATCTATTTTTCTCGGGTGATTATTTGTCGAATAAAAAGTTTAGATATTCCGTTTTATTTTATTTAATCAATTAAATAATGCAAAAAATCATCAATCAATCAATAGACGATAAAGTTATTTTCGCCTAATACCGGATAGTATAAGTTGGAATAGATATAGGATCAGAATACCAGCTGTATGGAGTGTCGAAAAGAGTGGATAATTATAATGAAACATGAACTATGAGCACTGTTCAATTATTTAAATATGCTGGTACAACAGAGAGTTCCAGTTGCTGTTACCAGTTACGTCTAACTGTTCAATATATGTTCAAATCGGTGTATTATTTTTTACAGTAATTTTGATTTTATTTTGATAATCATGTGACTAATTTAGGCATGGCTTTTAAAAAAAACACCGAAAATTCCAGTAATATATTTTCTAGAACGATCTTACAATAACTGCATTTATTCGAACATCGTCGTTTTTATCGTATTCTCTATACGTAGAGTTTAGATTACTGAAAAGAGTTTATGACATGAAGAGAAAATCAAGAAGCACTGGTAAATAAGGTATTTTACATATTTATTAACGTAAAGCGATTGAAAAGTTTATATCAGCTATCGTCAAAATATCAACGAATAATTAAAATAACCCATAGTGTCATTGAATAAGAAAAAGAGAATTCAGCGAAGAAAATTTTCTTTTCGACGAAATCATTTACTTTAGCTGTACCTTCCCTGGCCTTAATGGGTATGTTTCTGTGTTTTTTTTCTTTTTCTTTTTTAATGCACTTTTATTATTATCCATATTTTTAAATTACTATTTTGCACTTTAAACTCTTATCATTTATTATTATTACCTTTTACAAGTTTTCTTGATTATCATTCAGTTTATTATGATGACCTTTGTTGTTTTGTCGTTTTTCTTCATATCTGTCAATTGGACTATTATCTGACCCTTAAAATTTTGTTCTTCCTTACCCCTTGATTAGTACGTTAACCTCATTTGTTATTTATTGTCGAATCCATTTTTTTTTATACAATCCATTCTATCCTTCTATAGACATACATTTTCCATATATATACGAATGTACAGCTAAAGTAAATGATTTCGTCGAAAAGAAAATTTTTTTCGCTGAATTCTCTTTTTCTTATCAACGAATACTTTGACAGAAATCGGACATTGAGAACACAGGAGACGTTAAATATAAAATGTGTATTTGAATAATCGCACCGATCGAAATTTAAATAATCCTAATGTTTCCTCTGACAAATTAGTTTGATCTCATTCAACAAATATAGACGATATCCACATTATCAAAGAATGTATACATAAGTAACAAGATCTTATCTAATACTTATCCAATTGTGTTTATTTGTTTATGATAAGGTTACGACATAATCTAATACATAAAAATTGTTTAGTACATGAAGAATGTATGTATGTTGTTCATATATCTATATGTTACTGCTATAAGGAACAGTGAATAAAGGATGGTTATTTGTTCTCTGAAGAAGTGACTTACACTAAGTCACGAAACGTCAGAAAATCCAATTTTCTACTCATTGGGATATTACAAATATATTATTTTTATTTAAAGGATGAATCTGTTTACATAAAAAGACAATTAATCGTTTACGTTAAATATGAATCTGCAACTGTATAATAATTAAATAGATCAGCTGAGATATGCATAGATTTTAAAACTAAATTATCATAATTATTACCATTGCGTCCATTAGTGTTGCTAAAATTGGTCATGTAATAGTAGTTTACGATCCTTGTATTTATTTGTTAATAAACACTTGTCGTAATTTCTCTTCTATGAATACTATTCTGATTCGCTCATATACACAAAGCTTCAGTTGTAATTCCTTCGTTAGATGAGCTGAATCTTTTTAAAAGTATTTTTGTCCCTTTGAAATCGTTTTTATAATACATGTTGCGCTATTGCTTAGCTGTTTCGCAGCTTCTTGGGTTTAGCTAAGGATTTGGGAATATCTTCTAAACATTTTTAGGGTTTCTTGAACTTGAAATTCAACTATCGAGATATTTTTCTTACATACACAGCATTACACTCATTGCACTTAATTTCAGAAATACAGTCTTATTGTTTCTCTTTTGGTATTCTGTTTTATTACTCCCACTAAAGTTGATCTAATAGTGTCACTGGCTTAAAAATAATCAATATCACGTCTATTTAAAATAATGTTTGTTTCTTTCGATGGTTCTTTACGATATGGGATGACTACCAGGAGTTCCCATTCTCTCTATGTACATTATGATTTGTTCTTTTTTTCACTTTCAAGGTAATTATTTACTCTAAATATTGACAGAATCAAATTAACTTCAGTATGTTTATTGTTTGTTTTCGTAACTAGCTAATTACTTCTTTTTACCAAATTTCTAACGACTATAACTTTCGCTGAAATTGACTTTTCTGACTCATTATCTAATTATCTCTCTTAATATTGGTTTCCAGAATATGCTAGTCTTTACACTATAGTTATGAATTCTTCCAACCAAACATTTGAGAAATACTAGTTTATGATCTACAGTGTCAATCTTTTCGATCAATTTAATACTTTTCTACCTATTGTTAACCAGTTCAAATATTTCTTATAATCTACCATATCTAAATACAACGAATATGTCATCCACGTATCGCAACTAAATTTTAGGTGGATATCCACATCTCATTATTGCATTATTCTCTAAAACGCTTATTAATAAATTTGAAATTATAGGTAATAGTGATGAATTTGTCGGTTCTTTTTCTCTCTGTCGATATAAATCACCTGAAAAAAAGAATGGTGTATAACATTGATATAATTTCAAACATTTAATAATCTGAAGAAAATATAACAGATGACGTGAATTTAATACTTTACCCGATCCCGAACATTCATCAATTATATCTAACGCTTGCTTGTAGAGTGCATTTGTGAACACAGTGGACATATCAAAACTTTCAGTGATATGAGATTTTTCTTAGGAATTTCATTGATTTTGTCGTTTAATTAACATGACTTTGTTCTAATAGCATTAAAATACAGATATATGCACAACATACATACATTCTTCATGTACTAAACAATTTTTATGTATTAGATTATGTCGTAACCTTATCATAAACAAATAAACACAATTGGATAAGTATTAGATAAGATCTTGTTACTTATGTATACATTCTTTGATAATGTGGATATCGTCTATATTTGTTGAATGAGATCAAACTAACTTGTCAGAGGAAACATTAGAATTATTTACACTGAAGTAATTACATATCATTATAGAAGAATATCGAATGTGCTTACATGCTTACATGTAAAACTGCACACTAATTATTTAGATTTGAGTATCAAAGATGTAAATTTCTTCATACATACTAGATAAATGGTCAATAGTTTGCACCCTATCCAAATTTAATCGATTATAGATAAAGTTCCCTTAAATCAGATTAATTCGCTAAGTGCTTTATTTCTTTTTTGGCATTCAAGGAAAAAAAAACAGTTGCATTTTAAAGAATAAATTAGATCATTATGATAATGTAAGTGGAATAAAACAAGCTGTAAGAATACCTAATTCGACTTTTACAGAAAAAAATATATTCTTAAGGGATTTCCACAAGTATGAACGATTGCAAAAAACCAATTTTAAAATATGCACTGAATACAAATACATCAAACTACTGTTCTTGTTCTTAAAATGGATATTTTAACATACTTTTTATTTATAAAACTTCTCTTTACAAAAAGTATTAAGAAAACGGAATTCAGTGTCATTTTTTATATATGAGTCAAAACAGTTCAAGCCAACTTAACATTCCAAATTTAA